AATAGAAAAAAAGTTCTTATTGTTTCAAAATGCATTATTTTTGCATTTTTCAAAATCGAATAACTTTTTTTTCAGTTCTAATATCAAAAAAATAAAAACAAYGTTGCACAGTCGAAATTCCCTTTTAKCTGTGGTGAGAATTTCGTTTTTTAGTTATGACTGTAGCCTTCTCGGTTCTTTCCCTCGCGAAACAGTTTTTGCAATGTTACGTACTTGTAAGACGGAGACAACACATGCGGGTGTAGCGTCCTCTWAAGATTATAAATAACTACTAAATATAAATACATAGATAGATACTACTATATTTAAAATATTTTATATGGATTTTCTCAGCAGTAAGAATATTAACAGAATTAATCTTTTAAATAAAGACAATACATTAACCATAATAACTTAGTTAGATTTTGTATAGTACAAATTCATAAGCTTGTTAAATAAATGCATTATGTATTTTAACATTTTAAAAGTATTTAATAAAATGAAGATATAAAATTTTTTTTTTAGAATATGATARCAAAAAATATACTTCAACTCTTAAATCAGTTCTATTTGGTGAAATAAATAAATATGAATATATTTATCAATTTAAGACTTGCCATGATATAGTTTTGAGACTTAGGCTAAATTTTAGTTCAATAAAAACCTTAAGATTCTTTAATATTGTTTTTAAAACTAAATATAAACATTAATTATTACAACAAGAATTTATAATATGGCGTCATGAAACAAAATGTTTAGACTTTAAAGTTTTGACTTGTGTATAATGTATATCCAAGTCAAGAAATTCATAGTTACAAAACATCACAGTACTAGAAAATAATATCTTAAGATCTTAAGATTTTCAGTTCTTACAGAATGAAAACCAGATTAGCCAAAGTTTCAAATATGTCAAAGCTGAAGCATTGTTTTGTTCAATAAGTGATCCCATATGGTTATACGAGTATTTTCATAAATGTCAATTAATGATAATATAACATCCACTCTCGCAAGGATGTACATATGAGACCTACTGATACGCGTCATGGAAAAAATGTTGTGTAAGACATTTCATCACATATAACAATAATCATAATGAATTTACCTATATAACACTCCTTTAAAAATGACAGAACTCTTTAAATTGAAGATAAGAAAAAACCAAAAATTAAAACAGGTCAAGATTTGGATTAATGCATAGTTTAAAAGCAGAATTATTAAATCATTTAAAACTCTAAGTATAAGTACTCAAGTAACAAATATAGTTGGTATTTAACAAATTATTAAATGTAAATCTAAGTAGGTACTGAACACAATGAAATAAAACTTAATAATATTATTAATTAACTACAATAATTATAGAAAATTGGCTGATTACATGTAAGCGATATGTACAAATTATAATATATTTCTGATAGGATGTGAATTAATAAATATGTGGTATTAAAAAATGTATTAGATTATTTAGTATCAGTGTATTAAACAAAAAAATAATAAAAAGGAAAACAATATACCAAATATGTATTAAAAAACAAATATATTTAAAACTATAAAAACAGTTGTATTATAAATTTGTATTAAAAGTTTGATCCCATAAACCAAAATTGTCTGAAAGCAACAATTGTTRATTCATAAGTTCATGGTAAATGATGATAAAAACAAACAAAATATAGACTGCATAAGACTAAATCTTTTGAATAAAAAAAATAAAAGTAGTGTTAACATATTTTATCATTATTTAAAATAATATGGAACCAAATCATAGTTAATTATATTAATTATATATTTATATGTATATAACTTACTATCTTTAAGATAATGACTAATCCAAAATAAATAATAACACATAGGTAATAAGGGAATCATAGTTTAATATTGTTATAATAAGCTAATAGGTATATAGTTGGTCAAAATGTACCAACAACACTAACTTGATATATTTATCTTCGTCTAAGCCATTTTGTACTACTACCATTCCATTTTGTTGAACAACAGTCGAACAATTTCCATTTTCCATTTCTTTTTTATTACTATTTACAGAATCATAGGGAGAACCGGGTGGTTTTTCTTTTTCTTTCTTTATAGTTTCACCATCATTTGAACTCTGAAAAAAACAGCCATTAATACCTTATAATATTAGTATATTACTATATTATATTGAAATATACATACAATAACTAAATTTCTCATTCTAGGCTCTAAGGGCTCCATTTTATTTGGTGTACTGGCTAAAACATATTCAACCATCTTCATGCCAATTCCAGCCTCTGATGATCTTGGAGATAATATATTGCCAGTATCATTACCAACTGGAAAACCGGCCCCTCTTCTGGCTATATAACAAAAAGAATTCAACATGAAACACTTATTATTTAGTTCTAAGATATAAATAAAATATATTTTTCTGTAATTCTAGAGTATATATATKCAACATAAATTGTCACAATTTAATCTAATGCTATATGTAGTAGAATATTTATTTATTACATCATTTCAACATATTTAAATATGTAATTGTGTTTACATACATATAGATACGTGTCAATGAACACTAATTTATTTAAGGTTGAGAAAAACTTTAACCRTAAGCTATACATAAATGCTATTATCTTAATTTTTAAACATACATTTTACTACATGTAAATATAAAATAAACAAATATTATAATATTTCTTTGCTCCATACACATACTATGTATTGAGAACTAAAAATATGAATAATAGATAAAACCGGTTCTGTAACTTGACTGCATTATTATTGATGTGATAATGAAAATGAAAATTATTTACTAGAAGACTGGTTTTTTTTATAACTTTACTATACTGCAGCAATGTACAGTAACAACAATGTGAAGTAATGCTATTTAAATTGAACTTGATTTAAGTTGAATACATTATCTACACTATTATAATAACTAAATGTTTGCATTCTTTTATAGATGTTGTTGGTAGATAAATGCAGTGACTTACTTCAACGGAAGTACACATTGTATAATTAATAAAAAGAAAAYAATATTTCATGTATTAAAAATTACATAAAATAATGGATTTAGCTATATTATTTTAAATTGTCTATTTAAATTCTGACATGAGTAATTCAAATTTAAGTCAAATTTGACACTAAAATATTATTGAAGTATGGGTACCTACATAATTAGTAACCCTCTTATTGATACAGACTACTTATATTAAAATATAATCAATAAAATATAATCATCAAGGAACTCATAACCCCACAATTTTACTTATTTATAGGTAACTATCAAAATAATGATTAGGATTCACAAATTTTCTTTAAGGACAATTGTTTTGAATGGTATGACATTTTTAGTTTGATTTAAATTTCTAATAATATTACTGGGTTAATATTGAAAAGAACCTTTAAAAAACTCAAAGTTCARTTTCATGATTCATAGACTATTTTGTTCCTTTGCAAGAAAACAAAAATGTATTTGAAACTTTAAGTTGGATWAACAATAACTAAGAAAAACAACTATTCATTAAAATATCAAAGACTTACTATTAGAACTCCAAGTGGAATCTCTCCACATTTGATGATGATGATCATTTAAATTAAGTATGCCTTTAGGTCCATCTTCTTTGCCTTCTTCGACTCCCCATAACTTTTTTGTTGAAGATGCAATCTATAAACAAAATTTTATCTACTTTAGATCTTCATTTAAAAAAAATTGATTAAATATTATAACTTTTTGATAAATGCTTTATCAATATTTCTGAATTTAATATCTAACAACAATCCCGGAAAAATGACGAGTGCTCACGTCTAGTTTCTGTTTCTTATCTAACTTTTTATCAACATTATTTAAATCTAGTCAATTTTTAAACAATACCTATATWTGTAATAAGAGTCTAAAAACCTTTAACAATTAATTATTTTGGCAATTAACTATTTTATTTATAAAAAGTTATGTATGTAGTATAAATTTGTAAAAATATACTATCTATAGCAATATTAATTGAGCTCTTGTTTGTTTATATTTTATCGGGATTTTATGTATTTTTAACAAAGTATAATACTATAATATCATATTATGCATATRCACTTCTAAGATCCAAAGCTCAAAGCCTTTCAAAACTTTTCATCCATATCACTGAGCTGACAGATGTTTTAATTTTGAACTCTAACATTCTTGCTACATAGTATCCAAGTAGTTATTGAGCAAAAAGCAGTAGAGTTCAATAAAAGAAAATTAAGTTATTTTTTTCTTCGTAAAATCCGGAGTAAAATCTTTCATTTTGATATCATTACACGTCTACCATCTCGCCACAATTTTGGTTTGGTTTAAAAAAAGTTTGAAGATCCATGAATTCGAGATCCATCAAACGACGATTCAAACAACATAAGAACGATTATTTGAAATCACGAACGTATAAGTGGGTGCCCGGGGTCTAGCAGAAACTTAATCCCAAAAAGAACTGTCATCAGAGCAGCGATCCAATAAAATATGAAACGCCTCCGCGTCGTCTACGATAAGAACAACAATAAATTTGTCAATGATAGTGGCGGACGGTGGTTAGTAGTACGTAGTGATTGGTGGTGATTSGCGAATCTAACGAACCTCACTACCTATAACAACAACCACAACACCGGTGCCACTGCAGTATATATAGTATAATAACAATCTAACCAGTTTTACGACAGTCGACACCGCCGCCACCGGGCATGAAAAAAACCTCACAGGGACAGAACAAGCCCTAATGCAACTAAACACGAAACTATCAACCGCCACCATCGAACACGTTACGATGGCCATAAGTGCGGCGCGCATGTATTGRGGCACCGTGTGTAGCGTGTACACGCGGAGAAAAGGAAGATCAAAAGTGGCTTGGGCGGAGGCTCTGGAAGAGCTAAGATGACCTTGATCATAGAGGACAATGTCCGGACCAAGGTTTTCGCCGCCGATCAACTACTTAGTCGTGAACACATACGGCGCGCATGCGCAGAACAACATGCACTGAGACTCCTACACGAAACGCGACGTTACGATAATATTGTGTGCACGCCAGAGTGGCGTAGACGAGTTTTATGATTTTTTTATGCTAGTCTTCAGCAGTTTACCGAAGATTCGTAACAATAAACAAAAACATGCGCGATGTATGTACACACGAAGGACGAGAGCAGGGAAAAATACGATGATGAGAATATTAAGTTATAATAGTAATATCGCGATATCAACACACTCGTACGCGGTTACCAGCTACGAAGCAGAAATAAGCAGAGAAATACGAAGCCATTCCCCCACAAACGAGGAGCACCCTAAATCGCTCACAACCCCGACCCTTCGATAAGAAGCGTCGTCCGTGCTGTGTCACTCGACAGCCGATATGGTAACATAGCAAACGGCTGCCGTCGCACCACGCGCGCCATTATATCATAGCGGAAGCTTCGGTACCTAGCCGAAACGTCCGTTTATTATTTAATTTTGCCGCCTCCTCGCTGTGGCATAGCCATCACGCAGTGAATATGTTTTTATTACATTAATAAGTAAAAACTCGGTAATAACTAATAAGTAATCAGCAATAACGTATGCGAATTATCAATACGTAATTTAATACACCAAACGTCGATTTAGACGCACTCCATATTATATTTATAAAGACGACATATAGTAGATTATTGTACTATTACTTATAATTGATTAAATTAGTAGTTAACGACATAGTTTTCAGATAAAGATAATTATGTACTTATATGTTATTATTATAGTCGACTGTTGACTAAAACTCATATAATATGAATGAAATTCAAAAATAGGAAGCACCAATTTATTATAAAAGTAGGTATAATATGACTATTTATGTTTCAAGCATATTACAGGGAGCCAGGGACTRTTTTGTATGTACCAACAACCAAAAAGATACCTACATTTTCCAAAAAATGTACTGACACGAGACAAAATAGCCTACCTTAGTAGGTACCTACGTAACAACATTAACATAATTATCCTATATGCTAGAGGCACAAAGTAGTTACTTAGACGTTCTAAGGATTTTTCAACGGAAAGGGATGAAAGAAATTGTTACATGATAAGCCGTAAGGGTTACCAAAAATAGACAAAATATATATCACTATAATATGTAAGAAAATAAAGAGCCTTGGGGGGGGGATCTATCCCCCATATCCCCCCCGTGAGAACACCCATGGTAACTACTAACATATTATATTATTCTGATTACATTACGCTCTAAATTATATCTATGTACTTTAAGTATATTGTTAGTCAGTTATAAGTGCTACCTACCAAAAATACAAATCTATAAACCAAATTTAAATTTAAATATAAATTAAAAAAATCGTTTATGATAAAGAGGTCAGGTATATATTATACGTWTGTTATAAATAAATTTGTAGAGAAAGACGACTAAATATTTAAAACCCTTAGTTTAAAAATAAATATATAATTATAAATTTGTAGACGCTATTATTTTATTGAGACATGTCGGTTAATTGTTATTGCCTATTAATCAATTTTTTGTATGAAAAAAAGAATTGTTAGACATTTTTTTAAGTCTCTGTCCTCTTCATATGGTTTTAATGTTTTTTTTTTTCAATTCTACTGTCAAGTGTAATGTAACATTTTTTCCGTTTTTTTCCTTCCAAGCTTAAAAATTGTCGATCAAACAATAAGTCTCCATGCTGAGCTTCTAATTTAAGACATTTGTAATAAAGAGCTAAAAAAGTTGGTCGAGGTCTATTAAATTGTTTATTTAATCTGCTGTTCCAGCCTTCAACGATATTATTTGTCCTGTGTCTTTTTTGGAAGCAATTCCATATATCTCTGGATATTATTCTATTTCACAATGACATCGATAACGTTGTACCAATAATTTGTATATATACGTAAAAATAATATAAAAAAGGAAAGTTAGATTTTTAAAATAGTATAGGTTTAACTTTATTATTATTATATTATCAGTATTGTAAAACCAGTTCACATATGTAAAAAAAAAATAGTGACCGCAAGTGCCACCAAAAAGGTATTGACCGCGCAACTGTGCCGACCGCATCTGTGCCGATACCCACCAAAAGATAGATACCTCGATAGATACATATCAACTTTTACATAAAACCATTAAATGTAATTTAACTTCGAATAATAATACACATACCGTTGAAGTGTATAAGTAAATAAACTCAAAATAAAATAATGAAATTAATAATATGCATTAAATATTTAAGTTTTAAACACAAGTAATATCATAATTTATAATATATATTTGRTACGTAGTCAGTGTTGAATCCAGACAATTTTTCTGGGGGGGCTCACTTTTTTTTTCATTGGTGAATGGTGATACGTCATTTTAGTATTATGAATTATATCTATTAATAGGTAGTTAGTCTTATTTCAATTTATAATTTAGACATTTCAAATTTATATAAAACTACAAAACAAATTAAAAACAAATYATTTTTTTTTAAATTTTTAAATCAATCTCAGATTAATCTAACGTCGTCACATTATAAATTGTATTATWACAATTTATTAAAATTCATAAATTATAAATATTGAAAAAATTACAAAATAAATTAGAAACCTATTAATTATTTATATTTAAATTAGTATTGTGCATTTGATAAATAAGTACATTTTGTTGAAAGTCAGGGGGGAAAKAAATTTCAGGGGGGCGAACGCCYCCCCCCCTCTGAAGTATACCTGGATTCAACACTGTACGTAGTACTTACATTAATTATATATACTTCAAATAATTTAATACCCCCTCACAATCTAGGTTAAGTTAAACGTACAACTATTTCTGCATTTTATAAACTTTAAAATTGTCAACGGTTTGTATTTTTAACTGCATGCATAATAGGTAAGTTTAAATCTCATTTAAAAACTGAACTGCGAATTATGTTTTGTAAAACAATCCGTCCAAACTTTTAACATTTTAAAATCATCAAATTATAATTATTTTTTTTTTATCAAAAGGCTTTGACAAATCATTATACAAAACCTTCTAATCTAAAAGTAAATATAGTTAGGTAGCTGATTCTCATATTAATATTATCCGCAAATATTTTTTTGGTAAACCAATCCGTAACTTTAATATTTTTAAATCATAGAAAATCTTAAATATATATACATAAACTACCTAACAAATAATAAGTTTTATATAACTCRATATTTATTACTTATTAAATATCACTGGTCTACGAGTTATCTCCTCATATTAATATTGTCCGCATGTTTTTTTTTTTTTGGTAAACCAATCCGTAACATTAATATTTTTAAAATCATAGGAATTCTTAAATTTATATTTAAAAAAATAACAAACAATGTAAGGTGATAAGTACATATCAAAAATTACTGATTTACGAGTTATCTCCTCATATTAATATTRTCCGCATGTTTTTTTTTTTGGTAAACCAATCCGTAACATTAATATTTTTAAAATCATAGGTGATAAAAAATTTACAAAATAGTATATTTTCAAAATATTTTTCTTACAAGACTAATAATCACCTCATAAAAATTTTGTCCGCATAACTTATTTGGTAAACCAATCCGTAACATAAATTGTTTTAAATCATAGGTGATTATTAATTTACGAATATGAATAAGTGTTGAAGTAACTACCAAAGTTGTTGGGAGTTTTAAAAAATTGCATATCAATGATAGGT